GTAAATGCAGAAATGCAAGCCCAGCTTAACGTTGTGATGGCAAATAGGCAAGCCTCCATCATGCCAATAAACTCAAAAATAGATATCGCCTCCGTGCAAGGCATCACTAACAACAAAAACACGAAACGTAAACAGCCAAATTCACCAAAAACCATCAAGAAAAGGCTCATCTTCGACGAACCAAGCACCAGCAATGCAGCATTAATATCAGAAAATCGATTTTCACTGCTCGTAGAAGAAGATGAAGACTACAGCGAATCACCTGTAGCTCCAGAAGCCCCAGTATTGACCGACCAGCAAACTACTCCGAAACCTCGTCCGCCCCCCATATGGTGTCCAAACATCAAGTCTGTGGCCCTACTTCAACAGATAATAGATAAAGTAATTGATGCTAAATCATACGTAATTAAGCCAAAGAAGAATAACATAGGTGTATTAACCCAATGCAGTGAGGACTATCGCAGAGTTATAGACCACTTTACTAAGCTGGAATTGGAGTTCCACTGCTACCAGCTTAAGGAGGACAAACCATATAGAGTCGTGTTCAAAGGGCTTCACTCCAGCACTGATACAACACTAATTAAAAAGGAATTGGAAACCAAAGGCCACACAATTACAAATGTGCACAACCCACTGAGCCGTATGGACAAAACACCGCTAAATATATTTTTTGTTGACGTGGCTCAGGCCCCCAACAACAAAGAAATTTTGGACATTCGAGTTGTCTGCAGGCAACGCTGCACAGTGGAACTGCCAAGAAGATACAACGACCTGACACAATGCCATCGCTGTCAAGAATTTGGACACACACAACGCTACTGCCACAAAGCTCCCAGATGTGTGCGTTGCGCCGGGAAACACGCATCCAAAGACTGCACCCGCGAAAAGGACCAGGCACCAACTTGTGTGCACTGTGAGTTACAGCACCCAGCCAACTATAAGGGCTGCCAAGTATACAAGCGGTTGCGCAAATTGCAATCCCCAGCACAAAAAAGGAGTCCCACACAAACACCGTCTACGGGTCCGAGTACTGCTTCCGAAATTACAAGGCCCCGGAGCATTACCCAAGCCACGAGCTTTGCAACGCCTATTAGTGGTGTTTCTTACGCACAGGCCGCTAGAGGTGGACCGTCAAATAAGAATACCACAAGTGACACTTTGTTCACTGAAATGCTTCAGCAACAACAACGTCAGTTTGACGCAATTAATGCCGAGCTCAAAGCGATGCGAGAAGTACAATCCCAACAAGCAACCATGCTAAACAGTTTAATGGCCATCATAACCAAGCTTGCCTACAAATAATGGCTTTACGTGTGGGTATCTGGAACGCCAATGGCCTGAGAAACAAGACTCAGGAACTGGCTGCGTTTCTCTCACAAGAAAACATAGATATAATGTTAATAACAGAAACTCATGAGTGCCCCACTACACAAATTTTCGGATACGAACACTATCAGGCTCATGGTGAAGGAGCAAACTGCTTTGGTGGATCCTCAATCCTCATACGAGCAACAATACCGCATACACCTTTACTGCCAATTTGCAACGCAACAATGCAGGTCTCAGCCATCACCCTGCCTACGTCTATTGGAGCGATCGAAGTTGCGTCAATTTATCTTCCGCCAAACACTGGTCTGTGTGATCATCACATGGAACAGGTTCTAGGCCAAAGGTTGAATAAGACCCTCATCGGCGGCGACTGGAATGGATGGCACCCATTTTGGGGAAGCAATAGTGCGAATCGTCGCGGAGAAGTCATATTTGAGGCGATTCAAAACTTACAATTCAGCATATTGGCGACTGGAGCCCCCACCCGTTACCCAATTAATGGACACAGGCCCTCGGCAATCGACTTCGCTGTCTACAAAGGCATCTGTGACCGGCAATTGACCATTGAAGAATCCTTGGACCTATCCTCTGACCACCTGCCACTAATAGTCACAATCCACGCGCAGCCACAGCCCTTGCCCATTAGGAAACAACTACTGCCAGCAGGATCAGATTTAGGAGTCTTTAGGCGCGAGCTCCATTACTCTTTGCACATAGAAATGGAACTTAACACTCCTGAAGACGTGGACTACGCAGCAAACAAACTGCAGGAAGAAATAGTCAAAGCTGCGCACCAAGCCGCCCCACCATCTTGCCAAACAAGACAACAGTCTCCGTACAACATCCCCCTCACCTTGGAGGCCCAACACCTACTAATACACAAAAGATGGGCCAGGAGACGCTGGTTAAGATTACGCACGCCTGATGCCAAATCCATGTACAACGAAGCCACGAGGCATCTTAAAGCTGCTCTCGCCCTGCTTCAAAAGAGGTGTATCAGCGATGCGCTGGTACGAGCTGAATCGCCCACTGACGCAGAGTTTCAATTATGGAAATTTACAAGAAAGCTCAAACGGCAGCCAATACGACGTCATCCCATTCGGAGCATTTCTGGTTCCTGGCACATTGGAGACGAAGCTCAAGCTGAGGCTTTTGCAAACCACCTTCAAGACCAATTCACGCCGGTGATTACCGCAGAGGCCTCAGAAATCGAAGCAACAGAAGACATCGTTCTCTCGCCCCTCCCAGCTGAAGACCAGATAACTGGATGTACAAAAGAAGAGGTTCTTGAACACATCAGAAGAGTGAAGGCAAAAAAATCCCCTGGATATGATCTAATAAACGGCAGAGTCCTTAGAGCACTGCCTGACTCCACCATAGACTACATAACTATGGTGTACAACGCCATGCTCCGCATCCGGCACTTTCCAGCCTGCTGGAAGCGCGCCGTGATTGTGATGATTCCTAAGCCTGGCAAACCCGTGGGAGAAATTGAGTCGTACAGACCAATTAGCCTGTTGCCAGTACTCTCCAAAATATTCGAAAGAATATTTCTGGAACGAGTACTGACACATCTGGGACGCCAGGAGGCCATTCCAAACCATCAGTTTGGCTTCAGGAGACAGCATGGAACACCGGAACAGGTTCACAGAGTTGTGCACCATATCCTTGGAGCCTTTGAAGAAAAGATGTACTGCTCTGCCGTCTTTTTAGACATCAAACAGGCGTTTGATCGAGTTTGGCACCTGGGACTGCTGCAGAAAGTGAGGACCACCCTTCCAGCCCCATTTTTCGCGTTGCTATCCTCATACCTTATTGGAAGAACCTTCCAAGTGTCAAGGGGGCAAACAGTATCCTTGACTAGACCAATTATGGCTGGAGTACCACAGGGTAGTGTTCTAGGCCCAACACTTTATACTTTATTCACAGGAGATATGCCAACTCCCGAGCCAAATATAGGAAGTACAGATGCAGTACTCATAGCGACCTATGCAGATGACACCGCCATCTTATCACGTCACGTATCTGCGCAAGAAGCTTCAGACTCACTACAAAAATATCTGGACTCTTTCGGACGCTGGGCAAAACGGTGGTGTATCACCATTAATGCACAAAAGTCTGTACATACTACCTTCGCCACTAGAAGAGGAGATTGCCCAAGCGTTGCATTGGGGCCCACTATTCCCAAAGCCTCAAAAGTAAAGTACCTTGGTATCACTCTTGACAGAAGGCTGACTTTTAAAGCGCACATAAGTCAAGTAACCTCAAAATGCAAAAGCAAGCTAAAAACCCTCGACTGGATGCTGAGAGCTTCAAGCAAGTTGTCTTACAGCAGCAAGGCCGCCATCTACAAGGCAATAGTTGTCCCAACCTTCGTATATGGTATCTCTCTATGGGGCTCCTCGGCGAAGACTACAAGGAACAAAATTCAGACCCTGCAGAATAAAGCACTACGCAGATGGACTGGAGCCAGCTGGTTTGTAAGAAACTCAGTCTTACATAGGGATTTAGCAATTCCCACAGTTGCTGAACTCATTGGGCGACACAGTTCAAGATACGCGGACAGACTTGCAGCGCATCCTAACCATCTCGCAAGCAACCTGGCTATAAACAACAATAGGCGAAGACTGAAGAGATTGCATCCTCTAGACAATATTAGAACTAATTAAGATAGTAGCTACAAGTGCAGAATAATTGGCATATCTGCCCTCCCATTAGTTAAGGTTTAGAGCTAAATGCGCTATAGAGTCTAAGACAATAAGCTGCAACAAAATAAAGAAATAAAAACGAAAAAAAAAAAAAAAAAAAAAAAAAAAAAAAAGTCACCACTCTAGCCAAATGGGGGGTTGTTTGCCTAGCCGGGTGCATTTTAATGCCAATTAACTGCCGCATTACCGAGGCATTATTTAGACACATGTGTAGATGCGAATCGGTAGAGCTGCCATAAACTAAATACGCTGCAAAGCAACATTTATATTTCATGCACACTGCATGAAATGCATTAGAAAATATTGAGCAGACATAAGTTTTCCTTGAATTGGTTTTTTATGTATAATAGAATTTTTATTTGAAATTTTATGTATAATATTTTTAATCTAAGCAGGCTAATGGATGTGGCTAAGGCACATCTAAACAACCTTTTGCTGCATATAAACTTCTATGCAACAAGTAGCTTATATTTCCTTAACTACTGGTTGGGATATAAAGTAGATAATTAAATAATGTATATTAATGTATAAGTGTAGTACATATACATTTGAAGTCACTTTTCTACATCTCTTCAGTTAGAACTTGATGTATGAAGGTCAGAGTTAATTATTATAATTTTGCTTAAAGAGGGAATATATAAATCGGAAATGGGGCTGATCTCAATGTACGCCCAATAGGCACTCCAAGCTAAATTTTACATTCTTATATTTAATCACAATTGATGTTGTCTTTTCTCTTCTCATACATTGACTCAATCTCTTGTCTCTCGCCCCACTGTTCTGCCAGTGCCACGTTCCTTGTGCCACGACCATTGCTCCAGACTCGGTCGTAGCGACTCTCTCGCTGTCAAACCTTGTTCTATGCACGAATTTCACAACACTTTAAGATTACCATATGAAGTTGTGAATGGTTCGTGGTTCTTTCTCAAATGTAATGCAACTTCACAGTGCTTCAAACTAATGCCTAATGTGTCAAATAAACATTTTTTTAGCCAGGTTTCTGCATTATTTTACCCAGCTCATTGATCTTAGACTACAGACCAAACTAATATTAACCACGCTAAATAGTTTTTTTTTTGAGAAATATTCATTAACATTCATTAACAAATCTAGATAGAATAAAAGTCTATTTGAACTTCCGGCAAGGCAGTTAGTGTTTGATATATATTCATAAAGATGCACACGGCAAAGGCTTTCAGTCAATGCCTGCATTATCACTGTGACAGCCTGTTAAGTTAACCCTTTGAGGCTTAACTGATTGGTTTAAAGCAACTCTTGACTTCCTACACCTTTCTTGCAGACGGCGCACACAATGCGAGGGGGTCAGTGACATGGCCGAGGGCTGCGAGGACTCTGCCGGTGCCGCTGAATCCACAACGTCACAGTATAAGCACGACACGAGCATGCTGGGTACGGTGTTGCCTTGCGAGGCGGCTATTGTTGCGACGCCTGGCAGCAGCAGCAGTAGCAGCAGCAACAACAGCAACAGTAACAATAACAACAACAATAACAACAACAACAGCAGCAGCAGCAACAACACGGCCAGCAATATTGTGAAGCGAGAGTTCTGCGATGGCAGCATCATGCCAGGTGCCAGTGTCAACAACAACAACAGCAGCGTCAGCAATAATAATAATAATAATAACAATAACAACAATACCAAAATGCAAGCATTGATATGCAGCAGCAGCAGCTCCAGCAACATCAATAACAACAACAACAACAGCAGCAGCAACAACAATGCAAACAGCAGCAGCAGCTCATCATCATCATCCTCCTCGTGCTCATCCTCCTCGTCAAGCTCGTCGGCCAGCACTCTAACCAGCTGCACTACCGCAGCCATAGTGCCCTCGAATTGCTCCACAAATGCCAACAAGTCGCCCAGCTCGCCCTACTCCCAAAGTGGAACCATCGGCATCGGCATCGGCGTTGCTCTCGCCAGCCCACTGCGAGAGGCCAGCCCGCTGCCCAGCCGCTGCTCGCCGGCGGTCGCTGCAGCTCAGTCGCCGTGTGGCGGTGCCACGCCCGCTTCGCCGCCATCGATCTCCTCCAACAGCTCGTCGCATGTGCTGGCGCTCAACATCAAAACCGAGTCGGTGAGTCGCTAAACGCAAACAATTCCAATTAGAATTTACTAATCAGAGCAACTGCATGAGCGTGGCCCAAGCCGCGTTCTATTTATATGAAGTGTGGATAAAACAGATAAGCATCCTAGTTGTTGATTGAGCTATTAAAATTTTAAATGTTTTATTTAATCATTATTAAATTAAAAACAATTTTTGCTGCTGCAAAACATTTTAAAAACTTTTTATAACAGCAAAACTTAACTATTTATTTTTTTTAATAGTTGAATTTGTTTGACAATGAAAGTAGGTTGGGTCTTAGCATTTGCATTCAGCTTTTAGGTATCTCGATACGATCTATATATGATAAATTTATAGCTCAACATGCTGAATTAATAAATCATATATAAGTCAACCTTCATCAGATATAAAGTAAAAATAATAATACAAATATATTGAGCCGATAATGAATATTATTTAGTTATTTATTACTCATTTGTTTTTATTTATTATTTTTTGTTATATTATTATATTATGAATAAAAATAGTTTAAGGTAAATATTAAAAAAAATATATACAAAAATATAACAAATAAAATGCAAATAAATAATACAAATAAATAATAAAAAAATAATAATAATAAAAGTACCTAAATAAATAAATCAATAAATAAATATGTAAAGAAAAAATAAATAAAGAAATGTATAAATAAATAAAAAATGAATATTTAAAATAAATAAAAATATAAATGTATATTTCTATATTATACCAAGCAAACTGTTAGCAATGTCACAAAAGTAGTTTACTGTTTTGTATTTGCGTGACAAATAACGCGATCACGCGCGCATCTCTAGCTGAATTCGGAAATTGGTTTGCATTTAATTAGCATGCAAGCGGCGCGGCGATCATTAATTAGTTGCGGCACCGACTGGCTAATCATGAAATCAGCAAGCTTGCCGCAAAATGTTGCCACTACACAACTGTGACAATTCCTGCAACTGCCGTCGAGCAACTGCCGTCAAGGGCAAACTTGGCGTCAAACATTTTACGCTACAAAACGTTATAAAGCAGCCGCAGGCTGTAGCTATGTCGTGCACGAGAAACAAAAAGACAACAACAGCAACAACAAAAACAACAACTACAAAAATAAATAAATAACAAAAATAAAAACAAAAGCCGAAAACCTAATACAACAACAGCGGCGGCAACACTCGGTCAAATATTTGTCCCAATTTTAATGACCATAAAAACTGAGCAGAAATAAAACAACCACAACACTGCACAGAAACAACAACAACAGCAACAAAAATGAGATCACAAAAAAGTTTGTGCAATTGTCAGCAATAAATAAAAAATTTCGCATGTCCTCGTTGGCTCAGTTGGCTTTGCCTGGGCTCTCGCTTGGTGCCTCGCGGCGCATGGTCACAGCTTGGCAAATCAGCAGAAAGCAACGAGCCAATGGCAGGCACATTGAAGACGCCGATCCGCTGATAGCCGAATCGCTTGGATCGGTTATTGTAGCCGCGCCGTTTCAAGTTTATTTTTGTTTAATTTTTCGTCTAAGGCGCTTGTTGTCGTTGCTCGTAAAATTGTGCTAAATTATGGGCCAAATAAAGGGATAGAGTTTCCAGAATGAGCAGCGATAAAAACATTGAAAATATTCCCGTCCCTCGAATTATGAAGTGCTCAATGGCCGAGCGGTCAAGCTATATCAATTATGTCCCACATAGAAGTGACTTAGATTCGATAATGCAGCAGCTGTTTGAGCAAGGGAAGTAAATAAAATTAAAATAATAAAATTAAAAAATTCATTATAAATTAATCGAAGATTTTAAAAGCGAGCAATATCTATAATTGCATTAAGTATTCCAGCTAATTCCTATTATTATGAAACATCTTTTCTGTTTATATGCCTTATCTTAACTATTTTCTGTAGGTATTTTCTGTATTTATAATTGTATTTACCTCGTATCAGCATAATACAGATTTAAAACTAAATCTAAAGGCATGCATTAAAAAAAGTTTTATTTTTATGCAATCTTGGACAAATTTCTAATCTATTTTAAAGCTATGTTGACCAAGATATTTGTCTACTATTTATGGATTATTGTATCCAACGAATACATAGATAACTTAAAATAGGCTAAAAATTATTTTTTCTATTTGGCATATCTCTAATTTTACGTTAAGCTATTCAAAATATCTGTCAAATCTCTTAATATATATTTTTAAGCATAAGACTCTATAAATATTTTGATTGGCTGACAAGTACTTAGTTAATATATGTTTTTTATTATATTTATTAATTTTAAAATAATATTAATAACAAAAATATTTTTATTTTTTATACATTTCTAAATTTATGTATTTAATATATCACATTTGTATTGATTTATGTTTATTTAAAAAATATAGATTAGTAATAACCTTAAAATGGCTTATTAAAAAATATTTAAATATATTAAAAAATTAAGCAAAAATTCTGCGCGGTCAAGATCTATTTTCTCTCTGATTTGAACAAACACATTTTGACTCTTCTGCACTGCAAATGAATCAAAGTTATTTAAATTACCATTCTTTGTCGATGAATAGACCTTATTCAATAAATAAATATAAGCAAATTCGATATCTTTGACCGCATATTGGCTTTGTTCGCTTTGTCTCTGTCCGATCCGAATTCATTCTAATGACACAATCAGCTCACGCGAGACACGCACACACACACACATATACACACATGCGCTGACACCCTCTCGGGCGACTTAAGTCCGCCTGCCCCTTCATCCAGCTTACCCTCGTCGAGTTCCCTTGAGCAAATGCGACTTGTAATGCTCAAAAAGCCAAAACAAAATGTTGTAAAAAGCAATTAATAAAAATAAAGCAATCAAAAAAGTGCATAAAATTTATGTGCTTGCAGTCAAATGAGTAATCGTCTGGCCAACACGCACACACACACACAGACACATAATAGAGATACCAGCCGCAACAAGAGCGACAATAATAAACCAGCAACATTTATTGAAAATTAAACAAAAAAGAAACGACAGCAGCAACAAAAAAATTGCAAAAGGCAAATAATAAGCGCAAAATAATCAGCACACACATACACACACACACACTCGTGTTCACTTGCAAAAAATAAGAAATAAATTTTGTATTGGCGACTGGAAACAAGAAAATCCAGGTGCTATAAAGATCGTATTAAAGGCCACAGCGAACAAAAAAAAAAGAACTGAAAAGCATTAAAACGAAATTTACATACACTAAAAAGGATAACAGCAACAAAAAATAGTTAATTATATTTAACATTTGTTTAAAATAATGATCAACTTAAGATTAAATTGTTGAAAAATTCATATATAATTAAGAAACTTAAAATTAAAGTAATTTTGCCTGTACGCTTAGTCGAACAACTTTTCGTTAGAGTATTCGACGCTATGCAACCTCACAATAGCGCTGTCACATGCTGCTGGGAGAGGGGGGTTAGTGGAGCTGGGTGCAGTCCACAATATATTATAGCTAATTATGATCGGGGCAGTCGGGCAGCCCATTGGCTACGCAATTTGACGGCTTTGGCAGCGCGACTGCAATTTCAATGCTGCTTTTGAGGCCAAGGCGTCAGCCAGCCAGCCAGCCAGCTAGCCAACTGTGTGAGTCATAAAGCCAACGGCAGCGTCTAATGAGCCTGGCGCACCGCAGGCTTGGCCAGGTGAAAGCACAGTCCGCATATGTACTCTAATTTAAAATCTAAAAGTCGCTAATTACAAGTTGCGCTAGCTGACTAGCTAGCTGGCTGGCTACAGTGTTCACACTCACATGCCGACTGACACTCATATTCATACTCGGACTCTGATTCGAACTCGCTGCTCTACAGCGCACATGTTGCGCATGTGCAATGAGGATGCCTTTTGCTGCGTGGCCTGACAGGCTGTGTCTACGTGTGTGCCAAGCGGATTTACAGCCCTGCCTGGTGGGTGTGTGTGTATGTGAATGTGCTTGTGTGTGTGTGTGTATATGCTTTCGCATTCACATCTGCAACGTCATCATCACGATGATCGGCAAGAGCACAGAACAGCAACTGGCAGCCAACTGGCAACCGGTTTCTGCATTTACTTTAAATGTTGCAAATATTTAAAGCGGGATTATCCACAAGCGAACCGGAGGCCTGGCCTGGTTCTGGGCCCAGTTCTGGGGCTTGTGCTGCCTGCAACCTCTCCCACTCCCTCGCTGTATCTCTGTCTCTGTCTTGCTCTCTGCATGGCATGTAAATCGGTTGTAATTAGTTAAGAGTCACTACGCGTCAACGTTTAAAAGGAGCAGACAATAATTGCTTATTAAAAAGAATGTTTTCTGCAACAATTTTTATGACCGCCAAGCAGCGCGAAAATTGACTGCAAATGAGGTGAGTGAGCAAACAGCATGATGAAGAAATCAACCGGCAAATAACTCTGAATTGGGTAAAGAAAAAACTTAAATTTATCATGTGAATGCAAGAGATAGCAAATATCAATATATATACATTTATTTCTATATATTCGATATCAAATCGATATATTGTGTGATTGACTAACAAATACTTCAATTATTTATTTTAATATTCTTTTTAATTTTAAAAGTATATTTAAAAGTAATCAAACTTATTTCTTATTTATTTCATAAATTTTTTTTATTTTATCTATTTATTTTTTTATGGTTTTTTTATTGTTTTAGTTCTCGGAAAAAAATATATAGTAATAAAAATATTTGCATTATTGCTAAAAGTCGCATTTTTCTTACTAATAATATATATATATTTATGAAAAATGTTAATCGAAGATAAAACATAAGTTTGAAATGTTTGATTTTATTTTTAAAAAATATTTTAACATATATTAAAAAATATATACAAAATATAAAATAAAAATAAATTATAGAATAATATATATATAATATATATATATAGATAATCTTATTAAAAATATTTTTTAAGACAAAGAGAATTTTTTGTGCACATTTCGAAAATGGTCTTTTTCAGAAAGAATTTATTGAATCAA